CCTCTTACACATTCTAGCTCTAAATATAACTTTTCCTTGATTCTTTTTGTATTTCTCCATTGCTATATAAGCTTCTTGATTGAAATAATAAATATCTAGATATTTTATAATATCACTAAGCCATAAAATTTAGTAATGTTCAGAATTTGCCATTATTTTACCTCTATTTTCTGCCTGAGAATTTAATCTGCTTCATATTTTGTGAGTCAAAAATGTAAATGGCCTTTCATTTAGTGTGACATACACTGCACGCGCGCGCGCGCACACACACACACACACACACACAAAACACACACACGTTTTATAGACTTGCTTTATATCATTAATTTAATAGCATTACATTAGGAGATAATTAGTAAAATGAACTGAATTTTTCTAGATTTACACAAAGACAAAAAATCACAAACAAAATATGAAAGCACTTCAATCTATTTTTGTGTTAACTATATTTTCTTAAATATATTGCTAACTGTAGGAATTTTGTTAAAAAAGAAGATAATATTGTCATGGCTCAAATGCTTGAATGCCTCTTTCATAGGTTTTCCTATTTCCTTAAATAAAACAAATGTCTCCAGAAACTTATATCTTTAGTTTACTGAAGCTGGAATTACGGCTGATACCTTACATTCCACAGCTGTGGAGGATTAGTAGTTTAAAGCAGTAACTTCTAATTTTGTTACAAACTGCCAATTTTTCTATAAGATTTAAGTGTTTCATTCATTTAACTAAGATAGTTGTACAAAAATACCTTAGGCCTCAGAACTTTGGCTGTGTATTTAGAGAGCTTATTAGAAAAGAAATCAGGTGTGTGGAGAAAGCAGTCAAAACGTGTTGTCTACTTTGAGCAACAATATGAGTGGTGCTTTTTGTTGTCGGGGTAACCATATGCCTCTGCAGTCTCTTAAACATTCTGTATTGCATTAGTACCTCTAGTTCATTGGCTTGTTTAATGGGCTACCCAAAAGGGCAAATGAGAGTTTTGCATTTTCTTCTTCTTTTTAATTTGATGCATTTGATTTATTTTCAACCTCTTTGGAAACAAATGACTTAGTTTTCCAGTTTGTTTTCTCATGTCAGACTCCATTCACTCCCAGAACTTCAGTTTATTTTTCTTGTGTTTTTTCTCTGTGTATTTACCTGATTGGTATTGAAACTCTCTTAAATTTTCTGTCATTATATCAAGATCCAACAGGAACTCCTGCCTTCCACTTTCCAGCCAATATTAATATGAGTCCCTTTTTTATGGTTTAAGCTGTTCACAATTCTGTTCAAACTGTGAGCAAGAAAGCGAGATTATTTCATCACTATGAACCTCGCTTCAAAGGGTGATTTCCTAATTTGGCCATAGTTTCCTTGACAATAGGATCATCCTATTGCTGTTGTATTGTTCTTCTGTTCAACTCTGCTCTCGAGTGTTGAAAATCATTGAGCAATTAGTATGTTATGAATCATTGAGGATGAACACCTGGTAACAGCTTCACCCTGTTGCCATTACTCTGAGAGAATCATCTTGTCACTGATAATTCATGACTCTCTTTTTTTTTTAAGATTTTTTATTGGGAAATTGGGGGAGGGGAACAGCATTGGGGAATCAGGGACAGGGAACAGACAAGTTGCTGTCCTTTTGTTCTTCAGTCTAGTTGTGGAGGACATCACTTCACTTGCCCATGTTGGTATTATCATTACGCTCTTCCCAGGTGAGGCAGTTGCTCGCCGGCCATTGGACAGCCGCTCACTGTGGCTCACTGCAGCTCACGCCGGCTGCCAGCCGCTCACACTGGCTGCCAGCCGCTCACACTGGCTGCCAGCCACTCACAGTAGCTTATGGCAGCCACTGCAGCAGGGGCTGCAGCCTACACCATTGTCAGAGACTCACAGCAGCCCAGCTCCAGGTTGAGCTGTTGTTCACCATCTTAGCTGTAGAGGGCAGTGTCACTGGCCCTCATGTGGGATCCAAACCTGGGCCCTGCTACTCAAAGCTGGCGTCCCAAGCCAGCTCTTAACCAACGTGCCACTCGGTCAGCCCTGATTCATGACTTTAGGTTGAATTTATTAGGTGACCATCCTTTACCCCGTAACTACTTTAGTTGATACTGGAATGACATTCGGAATTCCTTCATCAAGGAATCAGAGAATAAATGTTTAAATTTAAATGACTCTGTAACTCATTAGTATCTCTCGTGCTTAGCATTGAAAAGTATCATTTTTCCCTTTCTCAAAGCAGTATTTGTTACCCTAGTAATGTGACTGAAATTTGATTTATTCTTCTATAATTCACCATCAGTAGAATCTTCACAAGTCTGCTTACTAGAAAAAGTATCACTATGTCTAACTTCTGAATGTTCTATGAACATTAGGAGTTTGGGCTCTTAACTGTCAGTAGACCAGGTTTAGCAGGAGAGAATGGAAAGATATCCAGCCTTTTGTTTTCTTTTTGGTTTTTGTTTATTTTGTTTTGTTTTGTTTTACCATGAGTAAGATAAAATTAAAATCCTAAATTGAAAAAAGTGGAACTTTGTATGAAGTATGTCCTAGTTTAGAAAGGATATCATTGTGGTAGAAAACTATGGGTATATATACATCTGATAAAGAGAAAGTAGATAATTTTCTATGCTTATGCTAGACAACAGATGTCATTTTTTTTTTCATGCTAAAGCTTTGCTCTGCTGGTGTTAGAAAATAATAAATATGCTCCAACAGGCTCTAAACAGCTCATAATGGTTATTTTTTTCCCATTGTCTCTCATGTTTATAAATTTATGACTTACACTGACATGCCCATGAGATTTGTTGATATATTTACTTTTAAGTGCCTCCATACTGGAAAAATACACAGTTAATTTAAATGATAGTGGAATATGTGAAAATAAATTTGTGGTTTGGCAAAGATTAATCTTTATATTCTATCCACCTATAAATATTATTTATGTGGCATTTCTAGAGCATGTTGTATTGCAGAGTGCTTTTTATTTAACTTCAGTTAGTTATGAGATATTACTGGGTAGATGGATAATATTTTTTGTTAGAGTTCAGAAATAGGGTACTGTAAAATTTCATAATTTCAGTTTTTAAACCAATACATAAAAAGGCTGATAATAAAGGTCATGAGAAATTTCTTGGATTCTGTGTTTAGTTCAAGCCATATTTTCCTTTCATGAGATCCCAGTAATCACACAGCAGATAGTGATTTGCAATCCCTGTTTCCTGGCATCTCATTTTCTTTTTGAGAAGTTCAGTTTCTATTCTTTTAATCTAAACCCATTTCTTTTTTTTCTTTTTCCTTTTTTTTTAAGATTTTTATTGAGGACTTGGGGGATGGGAACAGCGCTGGGGAATTGGGGGAAGGGAACAGACAAGTTGCTCTCCTTTTGTTCTTCAGTCTAGTTGTGGAGAACGTTGCTTCATTGGCCCAAGTTGGCAACATCATTGTGCTCTTCCCGGGCAAGGCAGATCAGTCGCCGGCTTCTGGAGGGCTGCTCAGGCAGCTGCTGGCTGCTCACGCTGGCTGCTGCTGGCTGCTCGCTGGCTGCTCGCTGGCTGCTGGCTACACACGGTAGCCCATGGCAACTCACTGCAGCAGGGGCTGCAGCCTATGCCGTCGTAACTCACGGCAGCCCAGCTCCAGGTTGAGCTGTTGTTCAGTATTAGCTGTAGAGGGCAATGTCACTGGCCCTCATATGTGGGATCTGAACCGGGGCCCTCTGGCGTCCCAAGCCAGCTCTTAACCAGCGCGCCACTCGGCCGGCCCTAAACCCACTTCTTCATAAGACATGTTCACTAGTAAAACAAACAAGAAACTATCATGTGTGAAAAACCCATATTTTTGCTGGTTGCCAGGTCCTAATGATGTTTTTACACATTGACTACATGTCTAGTTATAATGACCTTCAAATAATTGTTTCCATTCTTGAAATAATGCCCCTGCAATTTTTTTCTCACTTTGGTTATGCACAACAAATGTGACCGTGTTAAATTAACTACTACACTAGTCTTGCTCGAAGTAACCAAGTTAATTGAAGGGCACAGAGCATACATTATTCCTTGCTGTCTACATCCAATGACCTCTCGTACCTTTGAATCATAATAATTCAGTAATACAATATTAAGCAGAAAAATCCAAGCCATCAGATTCAGTACAAATGACAGAGATTCTAATTTTCCTCAAAATATGCTTACATGCAGTATCTCGCTAAGTGTGTCTATCTGTACTAACCTTTTTTGTTTCAATTTTAATATCAAATTACAGTGTTGAGGATGCAGAGAAAATGGAACTTCCTTAAATTGCTGAAAAGAATATATTGATATAAACTCTTTGAAGAAAAATTATAGCAATATCTATTCAAACTGAACATATGTATACCTTAACACTTACAAATTCTAGGCCTTGTTAAATACTCAGAAATGAGTGTTTGTGTCCACCAAAAGATATGTACAAGAATATTCATGACTTTAGTTATAATGGCCTAAAAGTGTAAACAAGGTAAATGGACATCATTAGTAAATGGTAAACAAATTGTGGCCTATTCATAAAATAAAATACTATCTATTAATAAAAAGTATTAATAACTGTCATTCACAATAACATAGATGAATTTCACAGACATGATGTTGAATAAAAGAAATCAGCATTAGAAGAATATGTTTCTATTTATATGGATTTGTTTAATCTATGGCATTAAGACATTAGAATTATGGTTACTCTTAGAGGAAAACTGACTGGCAGAGGTCACAGGTGAACCTTATATAATTCTAGAAATAGTCTATCAGAGTGGTGGTTAAACAGTGTCAATGATATTAGTAAAACTCCACTGAGTTGTGCACTTAAAATTTGTGAAATTATACATCTGTAAATATAACAAAAAGATTTCATGTATTTTTAAAATCTGTGTAACATTAACAAGTGACCATGTTAACGATTCCCACACACCAATGTATAGATACAGAAAACTCTACGAATTTGTTTTTGAAAATCCTGTGATTTGTTGTTTTGTTTTCTTTTAGTGTCCTGAATTTAAAAGGCCCAGGGACATTGCAGTTGACTGGGTTGCAGGAAATATTTATTGGACCGATCATTCTAGAATGCACTGGTTCAGTTACTATACCACTCACTGGACCAGCCTGAGATACTCTATCAATGTAGGGCAGCTGAATGGCCCCAACTGCACCAGACTCTTAACAAATATGGCTGGAGAACCCTATGCTATTGCTGTAAATCCTAAAAGAGGGTAGGTTATTTATGTTTATTTATGGTTATTTATGTTTCTTGATATGAGTATCCATTTTTTGAGATTGTTCCACTTGTGCTTTGCAGTTTTGTTTCTGTAATGAGTGTTCAACACGCAGTTGATTTACAAGACTCCTGAAAATCCCTCTTTTTTTTCTGTACAAAAGTATGTCCCTGATCTTTTTACACCAAATGGTGGGGCAAATACACATATATTTTTCTGACAATTTGCTATATTATACATTCTGTGTGTGTGTGTGTGTGTGCATGCATGAGTGTGCATTTTATGTGTGTATTGCAGACTAATTAAATTGATGATAAACACATAACCACTATGTTGAATCGAATATTGAATTTTTGTAACAGTAAACATAATATTAAATATATTAGGTGTAGAGTATTAGTATTTTTAGCTATTTTTGATAAGAAAAGATTTCTGATAATGAAAGGCATATTATGTAAAAAACAAATTTTAACAATTGAACACAACCATTTCCTTTCTCTTACTTGATTTTTTTTTTCTCTTCACTCGCTTACCTTTTTCATTTATAAGTAATGACCAAAAAGGAAACGGGGAAATGTTAAATTAAACTACCCATAAAGTAGACCCTTGGATCCTGAGTAAAAAAGAAGCAAATGTTACTTACTTACTTACTTACTTACTTACTTACTTACTTACTTACTTCTTACTAGATTTATGCAGTGTGGTGTCTTCTAAATAGAGAATAATATGTCTGAGAACACAATTAATTTTTCAATCAAAAAAGAAAGAAAACATATTGATGCGGTGTCCATAATAAAGTGAATGTTCCATCCCAGCAAGAGGATAATTTCAACTGTTAGAAATACTTTTCTTCTAAAATGTTAATGAAATTTTCAAAATTGATCTTTGGATATCAAATAATAAGCTACAATGCATCCTATTAAAAATTGGCTCTCAAATTTTAGTGCATAGGTAAGATTGTTTAAAATGTTGATATCTGGGGTGCTATATTGGAGGTTCCTATTCAGGAGGCTTAGAATTGGGTCCAAGAATCTGCATTTTCAGGGATCTGGGGTGATTCTGATGCACATAGTCTGAAGAAACACTGTTTTGGAGCAGAGTTGGGTTGTAGCAGCACTATAATCAGGCTAATCAACTTGACGTATCTCTTCAGGATGATGTATTGGACTGTCGTTGGGGACAACTCCCACATAGAAGAAGCAGCCATGGATGGTACTTTGAGAAGGATTTTAATAAAAAAGAATTTACAGAGACCCACAGGTATGATGAGTTTCTGACACAGTCTCACATGAGTAGCAGTATGATAAGCATATTAGTCTTACAAGTCTTTCTAGTTTTGTTAGCAATATAACCATTTTTACAAGCAGATAAAATAATTTATATTATAGCTTTATGAAACTCATTAACATTTCATGTTGTATTTTTCCAACTTGAAAGTCGAGTCTTTATCACACTGCCAGTGATATTATGGGAATATTGCTTGAAAATTGCCTAAATTTTAAGGCCATTAGTAGAATTTCACATGCATGAAAATTTGAGTTTATAGCAATGTATTAGGGTACTTTTACAGATATATGTTAATGATGTTGGGATAGATGGTAATGTTATTAGAAGATGAGAAGCTAGATGATCACAGAGTTGGGACACATAAATAATTTTTTGTGAACGACAAGTTTGATGATCTCTTGCCTTTTCATTTGCAGCTCTTTTTAGTTTGGCTTCAATCTCCCTCCAGCCATGTCATATAAACTACCACTCCAAACTCTGAACCCACAATACTGCTTAGGGGTCAGACTTCTTTCCTGCTTCCCTCTTCCTTCTCACAATCTATATTTCTCCCAACCTCCCATCTAGAATGCCCTTCCAACTTCTGTATACCTTGCTGTAGCTTACCTATCTTTTAAGGTCTAACTTTAGCACTTCCTCCTCAAGAAAAAAATTTCAAATCACTGGCATCTCGGGAATTCTGTGCCACCGACCCTCATCTACTACCTTCTCATTGAAAAAATAGAATGCATTTTTTATAGCACGTGCTATTTAACAATTATGCTTTTGTAATAGCTTTTGTAGTTGAAAATTTATATTTGGCACCTATATTCTTATTAAGTTTCAATGTGCCTTATGCCTTTTTTTTCAACTAGATTGTTTTCACTCTTTATAGGAAGGAGCATTCTTTGGGATTTAGTTCATTTATGTAAGCATGTTTCCATTCAAATGATTTAACAAATACTAATTGAACATCCACCTGGTGCCAGAAATTCCTCCAGATGCTGAAAAAATAAGTTCCGACCCTTGTGAAAATGTCCGACTCCTATGAAACTTACCTTCCTGTAGAGAATATTACATATATACATATATATATATATATATATATATATATATATATATATTTTTTTTCCTATATCATGTCAGACAGTTATAAGTGCTATATAGAAAAACATGCTAAGGGACGGGCAGTTATCAGGGTTACCATTTTATTATGATTGTCAGAGAACACATCTCTAGACAGGTGATATTTGAAGAGCTAACTGAGTAAAAAGTGATAGCAAGTCATGTGAATATGTGAGGAAAGAACTTTCCAAGCAGAGAAAATAGCAAGTTCTGATTTAGGAATGAGCTTAGCAAGTGTCAAAAATAGCAAGACCGTTAGTGTGCCTAGAAGCATATGAGCAGCTCAGGACAGTGGTAGAGATAAGGGTGGCAAGGTGGCCAGGACAGATCACCCAGGGCATGGTACACATTGATAAGCGCTGGCTTCCAGTCTAGCTTTAAAGGGAGCCATTGGAGGGTATTGACAGTGGCATGATCTGCCCAAGCACTATTTTTATTCTCTAAACAGCTTTGAACTTCTTTTTCTTAACTTTTTATTTTTAACTGCTTTTAGACTTACAGAAAAATTGCCAAATTAAAAACATTACTCTGGTGTTCACATCTTCATAAGCATTGTATATGTAACATTTTCATTTTAAGGAATGACTCGGCAGCAGTTTATAGTCTTGTCTGTAAGGAGAGCTTTGAAGAAAACCTGAGACAGGGATTCTTGCAAAGGTTATTTATGAAGAGCATATTTCAGGACAAACCTGTAAAAGAAAGGGAAAGATCCTAGAAAAACTGTGCCTCAGGTAAAGTCTAGTCTTGGCTTAAGCCACAGCGGGTGTGCTTTGGACCATCAATTCCATGAGAAACAAGGGGATCAGCTTTTTACATGTCCCATCAGTCATCGGTTGGCGTTTGGAGTCTAACTCCCCAAGCAAGGCTACTGCAGTCAGTTGAGCACAACTCTGGGAGAAGGAGAGTAAGTGTGAGTCCTTAGCTGCTAAAGCAGCAACTGGGAGATGGGTACCCCTGCCTTGTAAAGGAAATGTGGGCTTGGTACTGCAGTGCCTCCTACAATGGGCTAACTGAAGGTTCAGGAATTGAATATCTTCCATGTCTAGCCATTCTCAGCACTCTGGGTAATTTAATGATGTGCACATCACAATCCCTTTTCCCATGGGGTTTACATTTGAGAAGAAAAACAAAACAAAACACCGAGGCATGAACAGAAGTATAGTTTTTGCAAAATGTGAGAATTGTTACATACCTTATAATATTATTGAAGTTCAGAGTTATGAAAGATTATCTCTAGTACAAAAAGAAAAAAAAATGTGAAAGGTGTCTCTTTAAATAGTGCTTGAAGGATGGGTAGACATTTGAAAGTTTGGCAGATAATCCATCACGGTGCAGTGTTTATAAAGGTGTTCTTTGGCGTCAGATACATCAGGTTTTTAATTGTAGATCACTTATTAGCTGTGGGATCTCAGAAATGAAGTTATTCTCTTCAAAGTTTCATTTTACCATTCACACACCTTCTTAGGGTAAAATTTTGTGAGATGTGTGTATTTAGAAAAGATCAAAAGTGAACACCACAAAGTTGTGTGAGCAATAGGAGCCAAGCAACAGAATTCACTGACGTTATAGCTGAAAGAAGCATTTCAAAAGAAAGAAGGTAAAACCTGTTGGGCATAGCATAGTACCTTATGTAGAGGAAATATGGGGTGGTGGAAAGAGCATTAGCTTTCCACTTGTATAGGATCGACTTAAAGTTGAGCAACCTGCATAAACTTTAGAGCATCAATTTTCTTATCTGTAAAAGGGACCGGTAAGGCACTGTAATTAGAGTGCTTGAAAATCATAATAAGTTGAATGAAGAGATGAATGCCTACAATTTGTAACACTCTGACCCATGGCATGGTTTTAAGGCCTCTTTTAACAAATGATACCCTTGGTTTTTATTGGGCACTATATTAAACATGAGAAGCATGATCTGTCTTCCGATTCGATCAGTTGTAAGGTGGTTGAGTAGCATGCTCCATGACAGCAGGAATGTGATCTGTTTTGTTCCAGGCTCCATGCCTAGTACTTGGCAGTGTACTTGGCCAGAAAGGTGCCTTATGAATATATGTTGGGCTAATGAAGGCTGTGTCAGATAAGGACACTTTCCAGGAGTCCCTCCATTAGGAGGGTATGTAGGATTACATGAGTTTGTTTTCAGTACCATGTTATTTAATATCTAGAAGCTTATTTTTGTTGCCTTTAGCTCTCCCCAAATTGTGGCAATTTCTGAGAGAATAAAGAAGTACACAGTGGCCCTGGACTAGTCATTATTTGACTCATTCAGCAATTTTTTTTGTCTTTGGCCAATAGAAGATCTCTAATTAAATAAAATTACTAAAATCTTAAGGACTATTTTGTGTTCCCTTGATGCATTTATTTTACTAAATTCATAAATGTGTATAATGCATATGTGTGTGTATATATATATATATATATATGTGCATATATGTGTATATTTGTAGAAAAATAACTTTAGTGTAACTTAGGCAACTTATCTCGAAAAATATTAACAATTATTACAAATAAATTTGATATAGTGATAAATATCTTTAGTTTTTTTGGACCTCCCTTATCATCTCTTAAATCAAGAGTATGGTACTACATACTTGTTGGTGTGCTTGTCTTTCTTTTTTTGTTGTTGTTTTTTTGTTTTGTTTTTAAAGATTTTTTTTTAATTGGGGAATTGGGGGGAGGGGAACAGTGCTGGGGAATTGGGGGAAGGGGAACAGACAAGTTGCTGTCGTTTTGTTCTTCAGTCTAGTGGTGGAGGACGTTGCTTCACTGGCCCAAGTTGGCACCATCATTGTGCTCTTCCTGGGCGGGCGAGGCACATCAGTAGCCAGGTTTTGGATGGCCGCTCACTGCGGCTGCTGGCGGCTCACGCTGGCTGCCAGCTACATATGGTAGCCCATGGCAACCCACTGCCACAGGGGCTGCAGCCTATGCCATTGCCACCGACTCACAGCAGCCCAGCTCCAGGCTGAGCTGTTGTTCAGCATCTTACTGTGGAGGGCAGTGTCACTGGCCCTCATATGTGGGATCTGAACCGGGCCCTCTGGTGTCCCAAGCCAGTTCTTAACCATCACGCCACTCGGCCAGCCCATGTGCTTGTTTTTCTTTTAACACAGAATGTATATAATCTTTTGCTCTATACCTGAAAATGGAGTAATTTTAATGTATTGCTCTCTAAGTCTTCTCTGTTAAATGTTACACTGGTAATATGGTTATTTCACATAATATTTTTTTTAGATAATTGTTGAATTGTAGAAATAGGGGAACTAGTGGAAGGATCTTAGAAAATTTCAGAGTTCAACAAAAGTGAAATTTAGAAACCCCCAAAATGTAACTAGTTTTGGTATCATGGGAGATATTAAGAGAATGACTACATGATTAGGGTTATTATCATGCATTCCTAAAACTTAGTGAGTCTGTGTCTTTATCATCTATAAGTTCTTCAAATTGTGACTCCAGTACTGCTTTGTTAGAACAGCTGTGGCTTTTTATTTTAAATTTTCTGTACTTAAACTGACTTGGTTCCAAATATTCATCATATCTGAACCCAGTTCAGATAAGAATGACTTTCTTGGAATTGATTTTTTTCAATTTTATTATTTGTTCTTTATTTAAGACAAAAAGGAGATGTGATATTTTAAAGCTAGAAATGAACTTTTTTTTCATATAAACTTGACTTTCATCTCTATAACAAGAAAAGTTAGTTGATTCTTTTATTAACTTTTTAATTTACAAAACTATCTCTTTTATTAAAAGGTTTAAGGAAAATCAAAAGCATCGATTTCTGGATGTTTTGGAGTCTAAATCCTACTCATCTAACAGCTTTGTTATATAATTTTTATCTAGATATAATTCAATAGTACAGTATGTGGCCAGAGCTGATAAAGATGGGTATGTCTTAGACAAACCTAGACTAATAATGAAACATATTACACTTTTGAGAACTTTTTACCGCTGCTGAATCTGAAGAAATATATTAGAAATTAAGTTGGATTAGACACCATTGTTTTCTTCTTTTCTACAATTACAAAGTGTAATATGTACAAATAAAAAGATCAATTTTGTTGGGCACAGTTTTGTTTTAGTCTACTTATTTATTGTGTTACACAGGTGGAAGAGAAAGAAAGGTGTTTTTAACCCTTCTTAGACAACTGTTTTTTCCTTTGCTTTTTATTTTTATTAGTTTCAGGTGTACAAAACAATTTAATAGTTAGACATTTACACCCCTCACAGAGTGATAGCTCCCCTTCCCCAATCTACTTGCCTTTCTGAGATTGTATGTAGCTGTTACAATTCCATTGACTCTATTTCCTATGCTGTACTCCATGTCCTGTGACTATACATGCATTAAATTATAGTTGACATTCATTATTATTATTCATCTTCAGCACTTGTCTTATTAAGGAGACCACTTCATGGATAGTGTAGATGCCTGACCACTGTGCTATTAGACAACTGTTTTGAAATATAATGGCAACAGCAAGACACTGGGTCATTTTATGGTCCATGTTATCCATAATTATACATGAAGAAGCAAAAACATGACTCTTATCATTACTCCGAATCACCAATTAATCACCAAGCAGAAACTAGTAAGCCATGGAGCATTTGTTTTAATCAGATGTGATTGGGCATACTACAATCTTGTATCATACTTGAGGAACAATATTTTCATTCAGTTTGATTAAATTTGAGTTAGATCTATCTACTTAATTAAAGAATTAGTTCCAAATGATGTTCACCATGATTTTTTTTCTTATTATGATTGTTAAATGTTGGTATATCTATACAGAAATACAATTAGCACAAACTCAAATATACCTCTCATTCAATTGCCTCGCCATTGAGGTGTACCTCAGTTGTTTATTGAATGTTCTGACTGGAAAAGCTCTTTAGCATTCAGATGCCAATGGTATTTTACTTGCATTGTACTGTCAAAGTATGTACTACATCATAGCTAAAGACTAGCTATGTCACAAAAATTAAATATCTACAGCAGCGAGGATTTATTATACAGTCCATGTGTCATAGATCTTACTTTTCTATATTGAAGGAACTAATTAAGATAGTCTGTGCATTGATGACGTTTTTGTAAAAAGATACTGGCTGGACTCCAGTCACATGATAAAATCAAACAAAATTGAATACTGAATAAATAGAAAAACATTATTTTTACCACATACTATTTTAGCCCATTGTTATTCACTAATAGGTGTGGATGATAAAAATGAAGACAAGCCGCCTCAGAGCAAATTAATGATTAAGTAAACAATTAGAGAGAAAAATTTCAACACAACTATAACCTTAAAGACCTTACCATTCATTCATCTCTACTATAAACATCTATAGTTAGTCAATTTGAACTTCAACATGCCCACCGGTATCGCACAACACTGCAGGCCAACTCCAAATGGGCGAAAATATCTCATGACTAAGCCCGTGAAGCTTTTATTTACTGAGAAATGAGCCTCATGAAGAGATTCAAAATATAACTGATTATACTGAATTATTTTAAATGAAGGTTGAATAAGTTATTTAACCAATGAACTAATTTTGTATATACAATAAAGATAAAAACTAAAATATCAAGCAAAAGTCATTTAGAAAATAGCCATAATTAAGAAATCATTCAGTGTGGAAAGGAAGGGTATTTAGGATAGCTTTTCCTATATGAAGTAAAAATTTTGCTACACCTTGTTAAATAAACTCTATGTAGTCTATAAACATGTATCTCAGGTAAGGATTGAATTATTTCACTTTTTCTAATTATGTACAGTACAATGATATAGATTATGTAATTTCTCTGATGCTTGAAGAAAAACATCAATCATAATTTACATTAAGAAGCAAAAACTAATTTTAAATATTATCAAATTTATTTCTGTTATTTGTGTGTGTCGGTTTTGCAGGTCTGGCTGTGGATCATTTTAGTGAACGGATATATTGGGCTGACCTTGAGCTCTCCCTTATCGGCAGTGTTCTGTATGATGGCTCTGATTCCGTAATTTCTGTCAGCAGCAAACAAGGTCTGTGGAGAACTTTGGTTATTGCTTTTAAGTATTACTGGGAGTGTGTTAAATAATGATATGTAAATATAAGTATGAAAGCTTTCCATTCTGGATTTCCTCGAGTTGTTTCTCCTTTCACCTTGTCACTCTCGCTGTTGATTACAATTTTCATTCCTACTAGAATAACAAAGAGGCCGGGCCAGAAGCACTTCTTGACTCTAGGACAGACATGGTTCATCACTGCCCAGATTCAGAAAATATTCATACTTTCGCTTTCTTGGGTATTCCATTCTGAGCAGAACACTTCAAGTAGTCAAGATTAGTGCCTGTGAAGACCAATTTTTTATTTCAAATGCAGTGAAAGGAGTTAATTGTATATGGCAAAACATGACAATAACAAGTACTGTTACTATAGGAAACTGATAAGGATACTTAATCCAAGTGAAAGCAGTGTGTAAAAATGACAACCTACCTCTACCACCAGGGACTGCAGAATCTACTCATGTTCTTCTGTGACATCCTTTGTTATCTCCACCTCTGTGCCTACCTCCTATAGTTCACACTCTTCCTTTCTAGCTGCCTTCCATCCCGTGCCCTTTCCTTGCCTGGCAATCTCTGTTCTTTCTGCTGAATTTAATGTATCGTCTACTTTTTTTTTTCCTTTTCCTACCATAACCCCTTCTCTTATTTACTGCAACATGTCCACAATATGTACTCGAAGTTTTTATATTTACATATTATATTTAAAGAATATAGTTTTGCTTCTTGTTTTGTTTGTTTGTTTTTAACAAAAGCAGAGACATTGAAAAAAAGATAATTAAATTGAACTTTCATTGTGCCTTTGCTTAAAGTGTGTTTTTTGTATGGTTACCTGGATGGGAAAAAATTCCATATTTTTGTAACTGATTACAATAAAGTTAACCTGTTTCAGCTTAAGTATATATTCAGTTGTCAGAAAAGTCATGATGTATTTTTCTATGTTTTTTGTCGCAAAAATTCGTCATGACTTTTCTGACAACCCAATATTTTACTATTTCAAGAAACATTGAAGAAAAATCTATAAGTTTAAAAGACATTTTATGTTTTACAACCTGTATATAATAACTAAAAAATAAATGTTATTTTCCTGCTTTAAATTTCAATACCAACAGTTAGATTAATTATTATTTTGTAATAACCCTTAAAATAATAGCTATTTCCTAAAATGTGAAAAATGAGGGCCTGAGTTCATTTTAGTCAAACTGGTTATATATATGATTACCAGTTGCCAGTTTTTTTTTGTTTGTTTATTTGGGTTTTTTTTTCCCCATTTCCAAAACAGACAATAGTAATGTCAAATTTTTTTTTTGGATTTTACTCCTTAAAATCAACTCATGATTACTTGATAAACCTGTCATTCAGGAAACCTACTCTGATCATTAGTTTGATCGAGAACGCAGTTTGAGAATTTTGTGAACTGCCTGTTTTAGTGCAATGGATAAGGTTGGCCTGTAGGCTTTTCTTTCGTCAGCAAACTGTGCAGCAGAGAAGATGATTCTCCATATAATAAGCCCTGAACAAATGCTTTCTGGATGAAGATGATTAAAGTAATGACGAAAATGTCTTTTTTTTTTATGTTCTGAATGGCATGTTTAGTATCTCACATATTCCTATTGCAAAGGAATTCATTCTAATAACTTTACAGGTAATATTAAAAATATTCTAATTGTGAAATTTTTTAAAGAACTTTTTTATTACGATTTTCTATATGATCTTGGCTAAAGTTAGTTTTCTTAAGCCTGAGTATTTACATTGCAACTTTTGTAACTCCACCTTTTAAAAATTGTAGGCTTGTTACATCCACATAGGATTGATATCTTTGAAGATTATATATATGGAGCAGGACCTAAAACTGGTGTATTTCGAGTACAAAAATTTGGCCGTGGTTCAGTAGAGTACCTAGCTTTAGATGTTGATAAAACAAAAGGTGTTTTGATATCCCATCGCTATAAACAACTAAATTGTAAGTATAATATTTTGTATGGTTGTCTATATTGTTGAATTTTCTTCCTTATGACTCTCAAAAGAAAGTATTTATAACTATCTTTACTATCACAATGTCTTATCCCCAATAACTTAAGTAACTTTAATTTTTATATGACCAGACTTTTTAAATTGCCAAAGTCAAGATATAAATAAAGTAAAAGCTTCCATTTCTGTCATAAGAACTATGAAAATTTCAGAATTTGTCTGTTCCTTGATATTAGAATTGGCTTTGTTTTTTTAAAAAAATATATAGTATTCTGTTTTTCTAAAATTCTTAAAACTTTGTGAATCTATAAAAAAGTAAGTAAGTTTATCATTAGCCATTTTGACTTTTGTTACTGATAACCAAGTAACAATTTCATCCTTAAAAGTATCTGAGGAGAACTATTCCCAAGGGTTGTATTTTCTCTGATTGTATATGATTTTTACTGTTACTTTCCCTCCTAGAAGGGAACTGGTAAATAAATGATCTAATTATCTTGAAAGATACAGTTCAAACACAACTGTCAAAAATATTGAGGAACAAAGTAAAAATGTGGCTAAAATTCCCATGATCTGTCCTTATGTATGAATTTGTCCTCCAAGAACCTGTATAAGATTTATTCATAATTATTTTTATGGCAAATAGAAAGGGATTTATTCTCATTTGGTGCAATGATCTGGAAAGGTAACAATTGGTACATATCCAAAGGTAATAATTGGTAATCTCTCCAAATTAATGTTAGAAACAGATTAAAACAACATATAGCTCCCTAAAAGCTTCCTGTAATTCTATCCAAAGTTTTGCTGCTCTTTACCAATCATCTTACATATATGGTTCCAAGGTTAATATGAGGACACTTCTTCTCATCCTCCTGTTCCATTTGATTCATATTATTAATAATTGTCAATTATTGCCACCTTCTTAAAAAATAAATAAATAAGACTGTCCTGGATATAATAAGTGTTTGAGTAGTGGTTCTAACAGAATGAAAGACACTTTTATAGTCATCATTTTACTGCCTAGTCGCCATTTCTGTTTTATTCCAATGACAGATTCTCATGGAGAGCCATGGAGCAGTTATGACTGCAACGGATGCTGATTGGGTAGAAAGTTAGACAAAACTAAATGTGGCACACATTTACCCATGCACACAATCTCTTACCTGATGGAAGGGAAGCCATGCTAAACATGTTTTTTAGAAAAAAAAAAAAAAGTCTTGTATTTTGTTTATTCATATTTTCAACAGAAAAATGCATATAGATTTTAAGCCTTCATAAATACAGGTGAAGATGTTTCTGTCTGTTAAAATAGTTCTAAACAGTCATCTAAAACAAGGATTAGATCCCCGAAGACTTCAGGTGGCTTTACTTTTACACACAGCCCCAAACTGCACTCCAGTGTCTCAGACCAACTCTTTTGTCAAAAAGCAAGTCTTCACAAGGAAGAATGACAAAGTATGTGTTTGATTAATTTATTCTCCCTTGTGGAAAGTATAAATTAGGGTAAATTTCCTAGTAATGATGGGTGTTGGGTAGTAGTTTCTCTGCACCTAAAAAGGAGAATGGTGACATTGAAATGTAATACTCCAAGTAGAAATTTGATGTAATTGCAGTGTTGCTAATTCATCATTTCACCTTATTGAATTTTATGATTTTGAAATTTATTGTATTTACAGTTATGCATTTCTTTGTTTTTTATTGTTTTGTTTTAATCAGTACCCAATCCATGCTTGGATTTAACATGTGAATTCCTCTGTTTGCTGAATCCTTTTGGGGCCACCTGTGTGTGCCCAGAAGGAAAATATTTGATTAATGGCACCTGCAATGATGACAGCCTGTTAGGTAGGTAAACTTCATTTTTCTGTAAATAATGAATTCATCTGGATGATAAATTTTCACAACTTGACACTGAGCAGAATTAGCTACTCAGTCATCAATTTAGTTGCCTTAATGTCATTACTTCTTAAATGTCTGCATAAACTATTCTTTCTGATGATGACTGTTAATTCATTCCACATTTATTCACAAAACTGCATTGAGCACTTACTGTGTATTTAATAACTTTGAAGTCAAGCACCTAATCAAAAGATATTTATATAGCTTTTGTATCACTTATGATAATGATATTTCTTGACGATGCCATTCTATTAGTTTAAAACCGACTCCAAAATCGATTTATTCATTCAACAAATTTATATTGAATAACTCCTATGTGCCAATACCAATTTATAGTAACTCTTTTAAGATAGTTGCATTGGATATGCAAAGCAGAAGAGTTTGCAAAATGAAATGATAAATGACATAAACATCAAAAAGATATTTATGTGGATAAGTGATACAAGCCACAAAAGAGACACAATTAAAACTATTATGAAGATTTAGATGGTTATCCAATTAGAGAATTGATTATAATCTTCTGTAGAATATGACTTTAAAACAAGGTCTGCAAGGACAAATTGGATTTAGATTAAGTAGAAATGAGGGAACAGAACATTCCCACAGAAGAAATTTCTTTGAAGGTTCATTAAACCATGGCATGCCAACAAAATAATGAGTCATTCATTTCAGTTAGTATGTAGATTATATGAAGTGCTGTTATGGGTAGCAAGGTTGGGAGGTTCTTAACACAAAGTTAAATGTGAATCATGATTGGTATTTTGGATGGGTACTTTAGGCCAGTTATTGAAAAGGGATGCTGTCACTGGCACTAGGAGGTACCTTTTTTCTTTACCGATTATCTTCACAACCAGAGTAGCTGCAATCTCAATTGTGATAGTAGACTAAGATAATTAAATGAACATTTTCAAACTTTATCAGGTAGATTATTCACTTGCTGCTCTGACATGGACATGTAGCTAAACTATGTATGGCTCCTTAACCTCTCAGAAACAGATTCTTAAAAAATGTCAACCAATTCTTCCTTGTAGAAGGCATTTCAGTTTCACCTGTTCCACACACACCCATAACCAGTGCTCTCATAGGCGTCTTCTATATGATGTCTACTTATACCGTTGTTTGGATGGGAGAGACCTCTGGGAGAGAGGTTAGGATTCTGCACATAAGTACACTACTGATGCTACCAATGTGACTTTTACATTGGCTCAGATGTTATAATAGGGTTTTTTTGTGTTTTTTTTTTCAAGTTGCAGGCAATTTTTATTGATTTTCCTTTATAACTGGACATCACTGTCTCTTCTATAACCCTCTTTTTTTCCTCTTTGATTAGTGAAAATTGTTTATCCAATAACCCAAATTTAACAAAAACGAAGGTAGAACTTGGCTAAAGGGAAGCTCTAGATTAGGCCCATATCAACCACTTAACAAATGTGTTTGTCTTACCTCCCTCGGTCTCAGTTTCTACTGTATAAAATTTGATTAATAATGAACATTACTACTAGTAATAGTAACAGATATTTCGAAGGCTTATTAACAAAACATATTGTAAGTTATACACACACACACGCGCACACACACACACACACACACCAGCGCTGCCAAAAAATGTATACAAGTGGACACTTTAGTCAACATTGCTCAAGCAGTAGTTTGCCATAATCAGAAGTGTCTGCATGCCAATGGAAACCACTTTGAGCACCTCTTGTAATTGCAGAAGTCAAAGGTGACTTGTGTTCATCTTTTGTTATCGGTATATTGAATATTACAATTTTAATAGTTTTTTTCCTTTCTTAAAATGTGTATACATTTTTTGGCATCCTCTGTATATATAAAATTTCAATTAGTGCTCATAAAACCCCAGAGATACTATGCTGCCATTACTCCTATATTCACAGATAACATTGAAGTATGGAGAGGCTTAACTGTATGTCTGACATTATTTAATAATGATGGTGTCCAAAGGTGAACCTAGGCATTCCACACTCTACACACAATATCACCCACAATACCCATGTCCAGAGTCATTGGAAATATGAGAAATAACATACATTAAGTGCCTAGCACAATGCCTAGCAAAAAGCAGACGCAAAGCACTCAAAAATAAATCTGTCATGAAGTAGCAAAGAAAGTAAAACAAGCTGTATAGTTTTGTATTTGAAAGGAAGAAGCATGTTTGTCTAAATACACACATCCAAAATGCAAAACTTTTATAGAGATTTCAGTTTTATCTTTTCAACCCTGCTTGAAAGGCATGGTTACAGAAACCTTCTCAAAGTTAATTTTGTAATTTAAAAGAAAATGTTATATTTCAAATAATCAGTGTTAAAAAAGCATTCACATTGGCCTCTGTGCATATGAGCATTGGTAATAACAGCTTGGACCACCTCAGTTAGGAATATAAATGGATATTAGAATTATTGATCAGTGTAGATAATTTTTTCCTTACATTAATATTTGATATAGCCACGTTTTTCAGCTCTTTATAATTGCATGCCTTTCTCTAGCTGCTATTGTTAAATATTCAATTGAGCATACTGAAGATTTTTAATCTTTATATAAGAAATTTGAAATTCTAATGTTATGTATTCTTGGGGAAGTATTCACCTGCTCTTTACTATAGTTGATTATAATTGCTGGAACTTGGCTTCTGGGAGTGATTTAGTTATTGACAAAAGCAGCCTTCTTTTTCACTATACATCTATTACAGTTAGGTTTTTAAGGAATGTGACTCTACTTTCATTTCATCAGACAGTGTTATATTTTTAAAATTATGATACCTAATGAGACACATTATAGAAATGCGCATGTGTTACCATGTAAAGATTTTGAATATATGTAGTATACATGTAGTATAATATATGTAGTATGTAGTTTACATCGAACGTCTGCAGGTGAAAATAAGTCCCCTACCCCCAATAATCCTGAGATCATAAAGACGTAAATATTTATCTTCAGTGTTCACATTCACAACCCCACTTAGGCTATTTCATACTGAATGAGTTATAAATGTTTTGGTGAATTATGAATTAAGCAAGCATATGTCCACTCTAGATCTTTCTTGAGAATCTGACCTTTATATTTGACTCTTTGCTGGAGATTCACACTTGCATTTACACAGGTGTAAATTTAACATGTCCAAAGCTAAATCATTCCTTCAGTTCCTATTGCCTTGTGTCAAGTAATGAAGAATGATCCTTTTTTTTTCTTGCCCTTTTTATGTAGCACCAATGTAATTTTTACCTTCCAGTTACCTTTAGGATATATCCACATTTATCCATCCCACAAAATTGTTATTTTAGGCCATCATCTTATCTAGCTTGGATATTGGATATTGGATTTTTAAACAGAGTCCTAGTCGTCTCCCTGCTTTCAGTTTAAACCCAGCCAAGTACAGTCACTATCAGAATGTTTTAGGCTCTGAAGACTCAACATTGTTTTGGGGACAAAGTCCAAAATTCAAGGATCTCCTAGTACTCTGCTTATCTCTTCAAACTCACTCATCTCTTCCAGTTCCTTCCTTCTCACTCTAACCCAGGCTCAGTCACAGTGACTTTCAATCAGTTCCTCCATGCTCAACTTCTGGCATTTAACTATGGATACATAGTGTACCTTACGGGCACTCAGTAAATAATGCTGATGTGACATGGTAATTTACCAAATAAGTGACTTAATTTCCTGTTGAAGTTTAACAACACATCTGTAGACCCAGATTTCAGCTCTTCACTCTTCTACTATTCCAGATATGATAGACATGGGCTAGAAGTCAAATTCTCATTCAGGTGTATGTATATATGGTATATACCTCTTACTTAATATTTAAAGTTTTGTAATTTTAACTTTTTAATTCAAACTTATTTAATGTAATAATCATAACATATCTATGAGTTAAGTTGTACATTGGTCATTAAGGTCATTTTAAAGTAAAAGAAGCTCAGATATGCTAACTCATATGATTAGTATGTGGCAGAACTAGGACCTAAACGCCAGTCTCATTATACCAACTGCCATTTTCTTTGTACTATGTATACATATATAGTGCTTCATGAGAGAGTCCTTCATATTACAATTGCAAACTTTAGTAATGCCAACCTGAAGTCTACCTATATGGCAAAATACTGGAAACTTTCCCTTGCAATGAGACACGTCTCTGAATTGTCTGGCACTGCTGACAAATAGTCTCTATTTATGACAGTGGATATTAATTAATACTTGAATCGTTGTGTCATTTTAAGTCACTGAGGCTCTTCACGGAGCTCTTGTGATTATTTCAGTGATATAGTCAAGTTTCTGCTCTGTATAGGGCACTGTATCTTGAGTAAGGAATACAGGCTATTTTTACTTTACCTATTTCACTATGAAACATGACTTTAGTAGAAGGCATATTTTAGAATAAAATGTCTCTTACAATATTCTCAATATTTTTTTTCCATTGGACATTGTGCCTTGCTCTAAGTAAAGCAGCATTTCCAATGGAATAAGGCCTCTAATGGAGCAAGGCCATGTGGGGAAATGACCTGGAAAATGATTCAAACCAATGTTTATCATAAATTAGACATCATAGTTTTAAAAGTAATTTTGCTATTCCAAAGAATGACCATCCTTACATATTCTCACCCAAAATGTATGGACAGATTATGCCTAATCATTTTACATATGGATATTTTACATATGGAAATGTTTTTGACACTCTTCTATAATTATCTTGTACCAAATCTATGTGACTTATTTTTAGATGTTTCTATATGGTTCATAAGTTTGCACATCAAAGAGTATATTTTTATTTAAGAGTGTCCTTATACTATAAATTATACATACATTTATATGTATATATATACACAATATTATATATATATATATATATATATATAATATAGAAAAATATGAATATATATGCATATATCTTATACCTATATTTCAGTTTGGTTTAATATCAAATGCTCCTAAAAAATAAGTCATGATTGCTCATATTATTAAAAAAAATACATATTGGTTGGAAAATATTTTATTTTTAGGGAGTTTCAGTTGGTTTGCTTACTGTTGTAACAAATATAAGAAATCACTAGTAATGTTTTAAGCCTGAAGAAGAATAGAAGTTAATTCAACATTTGTATTCACCATTCAACAACAGTTGAAATCTATTTTTCTATTTGTAAATAATTGTGTTCTTTTATATTCAGAGTATTTATTTTTGGAAATTTATTTTTAAAAAAGTAAACCCTAGTATTTATTTTTTATCTGTTTAAATTATAATAATTCTACCATGCACTAAATGGCATGCTAATTCATACATTTCTTTTTATAACCAGATGATTCATGCAAATTGACTTGTGAAAATGGGGGAAGGTGCATTTTAAATGAGAAAGGTGATTTGAGGTGTCACTGTTGGCCTAGTTATTCAGGAGACAGATGTGAAGTCAACCACTGTAGCAACTACTGTCAAAATGGAGGAACTTGCGTGCCATCAGCTTTGGGTAAATATTTGAGTGTCGTCGTATATTCAAATAATTTGCAATTTTCCTTACATGTGAAAATATAAAGAATATAATGTTGCAAATACAATTGCTGGTATCTTCATAAAGAGTATATTAACACAAATTAAATTTAATAATTAATTTAACATGATAAATGGCATTTGCTTTAAATTTAGTATATCAAAGTTCAGGTCACAAAATTTAACAGTCGTAATGATCATGATCATGTATTTAATGTGCACTGTGTGACAGGGCTCAGTGCTTATAGATGTTCTGACTCTGCCTTAGAATGATTGACTGAAACCAGTTTTATAAATCTTATATGTTTGACTTGAAAAGTTGGGGGGTTTTTTGGTTTGCTTTTTGAACAGTTTGCCTAATACTCAAAATCATTTGTTATTGAAAATTACATTCATTTTAAGTGAAAATATATGATATTAGTACATCTGATAGCATTGTAATTCCCATCTAAAATCATAACTACTCCATTGACTTGTATTATATAATATGCTTTGATAATGATCAGGTTACTACATGTCAGGATATACTTGAGATTCTTATTAATTTATGCAATAGCTATGTTTGCACAAAATGTTTTCTACAGCACAAGTAAACATTGAAACATATTTCTGGCTGACTTTTATTAAATTTAAATATGTTTCCATGGGAAAAAATTAACCCCAATACATAATAAAAATATAATTGCTGATCCCAGTATTTGGTGCAAAGGACATTATGCAACTAAATTAGAGTGCAATCTATACACATTTAATTCTATTACATAAATGCAAATTTAGTTAGGGAAATGGAAAATCAATCTATATCACCTTTACATCCCCAACATGATTAATTTCTGTCTTACTGGGAGTTCTCACTGCTTCTATTGTTTATGCCATTCTTTGAAGTATTTAGCATAATGCTAACTGAAAGACTCACATTAAGAAGCATTTTCAATGGAGTTCAGAGGAACCAAGCTGTTTCTGATTTGCATTCTAATAGTAAATGCATAACTATTTCTTTAAGTTTGACAGTTTTATGTCTACAAATATTTTGATATGTGATTAATTGATAATTAAGGTATTCTAACTACTTAATCGAATTCTGATAAAAATATTTAACCAGCTGATTGAAATAAAAAAGGCAGTAGGAGTCTTACTACATATTTTCATTCTGCCTAAGGGAAGCTAGTCCATACAGTAGAGTATGTTCAATTGCTGTGGGAGACATGGGACTTTCACTGAATGTGCAAATGAGAATCCAATGAATGGGCTCTAAAAGGATATGACCTGGAATATTATTTTGGTAACACAGATACCGTATCTGTTAGGAAAGCTTTTCTCATGCAAACAAGTTTTTAGGGACTGTATTCTTTAATTGTTAACTTAATTTTCTCATTATAATAATAAAAATCATTGGGTTATAACCAGATTACGTATGTTAATCTTTGGAAATATTTAAGCTGACTAAAGAGATTGTCACTTCAACTATGGCTATCTGTTCAACCCGCAACGGATCAACAGGGACAAATCCCTATGAAACACTGAATTTGCTTTCCTATTAATGGATTCTGTACTATACACATGGATACAGCACAACTTGTAATGTTTTATTCAAATCATTTGTTCAGACCTTGCTGCATTCTTAAAATCTATACTATATCAACTTTATGCACCCAGATTATTAGATATTGATCTACATAGACAGTAGGTTCAGAGCAAATTATATTTTAAATTAGTAATATAAATAAGTCCTCATATGAATTCAACCTGAATAATATCCATGTAGTTTATTGTCTTAAAGCATTTAATAATTCATAATAGTATTATATCCAATAAAGTTATTTACAAAGCATTTTTCACTTTTAAAAATAGGGTTTGTAAAACATTGTCTGGTATTACAGACTGTAGAACCTCATTATCTCCAGATAAATGTTAATTTGTTAAACAAATCCTGTTGAGAAATTCATGGATTTATTAATCATTGGTTTACTTACAGTTAAGCCTTTTGGCAAATTTTTATGTGGATACTATATAACTAGGGTTTGGGGCAGCCTTAATTAAAATTTATAAGTTTTTGACAGTTGTGTAGAACTATAATAATTGAACAAAGGAAATGTCACCAGTTAATTAAAAGCACACGTCTGAAAGGCATAATTAAAATTTTGCATGTAGAAATGAGTTTTTTCTCATTCCTTAAGTTTTTTAATAAAGAAAGCTAAAATAAAATGTGTATATGAGCTCTACTCATAGAGGAAAGTGCTACAAAATGAAATGAAATAGTTTGACATTGATTATATCAATAAGGGTTCATGTAATTCATTTCTATGACCTGCTCATAGAAGGATAGATAAAAGATAAAGTTTACATTGGGCAAAATATTGCAAATGAGAATAAAGCATTGCATTATTCAGCCATTCTATTATAGAAAATAGAGACTAATTTATATTTTTTTCATTATGGATATAATTTAGTATATGTATATAGTTAACTATATTTACAGTGAATCTTCACTTTTATGAATATTTATTCTTTTTTTACATCTTGTAAAATCAACTAAATGTACCCTTTTTTAATTAAACTTATTGGGGCATCATTGGTTAGTAAAATTATATGTTTCAAATGTACAGTACTATAATATATCATCTGTATGTCGCATTGTGGATTTAACACCTAAAGTCAACTCTCCTTACATCACTATATATTTGACCCCCTTTATTCTCTTCTACCACCCACCCTTTCCATTTACCCTCTGGTAACCACTAAACTGTTGTCTGTATCAATGAGTTTTTGTTTGTTTGTTTGTCTTGTTCATTCGTTGCTTTCAGTTTTATATGCCACATATGAGTGAAACTGTATGATCCTCAACTTTATCATCTGACTTATTCCACTTAGCATAATAATCTCAAGATCCATCCATGTCATCGCAAATGCAGTATTTCATCTTTTCTTATGGCAGAATAGTATTCCATTGTGTATACCTCATCTTCTTTATCCATTCATCTATCAAAGGATATTTTGGTTGTTTCCATGTCTTGGCCACCATAAATAATGCTGCAGTGAACATCGGAGTACTTCCGAAAAGACATACAAACGGCCAACAGATAGATATATGACAAAATGCTCAACTTCACAAGTTGTTAGGGAAATGCAAATCAAAACCACAATGAGATATCACCTCAAACCTGTTAGAATGGCTATCATCAATAAGACAAACAATAACAAGTATTGAAGAGGATGTGGGGGAAAAGGAACCCTCATACATGCTATGGAAGGCAGTATGGAGGTTCTTTAAAAATTAAAAATATAGTTACTATATGACCCAGCAATCCCTCTGCTGGGTATGTACCAAAAAAAAATAAAAAAATCTGTGGAAGTTTTGTTTTCAGAAATGAAGCAGGAATAAAAAGGCCCTATTGAGGAAAAAATTTTCATTATATATATACATATGTATATATATATATATATATATATATATATATATATATATATATATATACATATGTATATATATGAAATCTCACTACAATGGGAAGGGCCCTTATAATAAATAGGTGAGTAGATGGAGAGAATTTTCCTTCTCATTCATTCAAGATCTTTCTGTCTAGGCCACTGCCCCAAATATGATGGGTATATATGACTGCCATCAAATATGACTACCCCAAAAATGGTTGCTCAAAGTCAAGTTAAGCTAGGAACTTTTCAACACCCTCAAAACATCATGGAACGGGGGATAAAACCTGTGTACTGATGCCTTTCAAGTCACATATGTACCTGGGATGTAAAGTACCAATCACCTAATTAATGTCTTGATAAAGGTGAACATATATTTAAAATCTTTGCTTTTCTTTCACTTTTTATTTAAATGAGGGCTATTTTTAATTTAAATTAAGCTTGATGTCCTAGCTCCCTTAACATAGATATTGATTATGTTTAGGGAGTGCCAAAAGCTGGGTATTTGGTTGTACTTGCTTTTTTAAGAATCCCAAGAGAATATTCAGTTGAAAATGTAATATTGAAAACATAAAGTCGAAAATAAACAGAAAGTATAGTGAGCAAATGGCAGAATACTAGTCTCACACACATGTGCACACAGACATATACAAAAGAAGGGAAAAGAGGAAAAGAGAGAGAAGGAGTTTGAGAAGGAGGAAGTAAAGGAGGAGTCCAGTGAAACATAGATGAAACCCGCATTCTGAAATCATGACTGGAAGAAAATGTTCATGGTACAGATCTTACCACAAGCAATTTTGAAATACTCAGCAAGAATTTTATTAAGTTTCAATGCTCTATAACTAAATAATATCACTTATAGAAATATTCCAAGGATTACATAATAATAAAAAGCAAAATATTTAGATGTAAAATGTTCAGTTTAGTGTTACTTATAAATTGGAGGTAAAAATTTGAATTCAAACAGTTAATATATAAAATATAGCATATATTATATAAAAGGTGAATGTTACATAATATAATAACAGTTGCAGATCATATAATGATATAGAAAAGTGTTCACATTGTATGCTGAAGTTTAAAAAGACAAAAAATAACACTGGTTATATAATATGAACCCAAATGGGAAATATTCATGAATAAAGTGTCTATATTAGGAAATAGATCCTTCTTTATACTTCTGTATTTTCCAAATGTTCTCCAATTAACATGCAATACTATTATAATCTGAAATCAAAATAATAATTATTATTAGAAATTAAAATAACAATAATAATTATTGTCAGGATCATGAAAATTAATATATATAGGACTGCTTACTAAGTGCCAGGCACTGTTCTTGGTCTAAATCTTCACAACAAACCTATGAGAGAATGAAAGAAAGGTTGTCTATAATTCTGGTACTGGCTTCATGAAGGACAGTTACTGGTTCATTTGAACCACTTTGGTAAGCACAGTACTAAACTATTGGGTTGTCAGAAAAGTCATGGCATGTTTTTTTCTGTTTTTCATTGCAAAAATGCATCATGACTTTTCCGACAACCCAATATT